TTGACAAAGAAGCGAAGCGAAGGGTCTGGTAGTGAACAAGGGTAAGAGTACATATGGCCTATCGTAACTCGGCTCTCACGTCACTGTTCACAGTCATAACTTTGAAGTCATAGATAACTTCTCTTTGATATTGGAACCAGTATTAACGACAACAACATTTTCAGCCTTGAAATCCAGCGCAGAAACACTCTTGCAAACAGGTACTAACGCTCCCTGGTTTACCTTGAAGACATCGAGAACTTTGTCTACTTATTTGAGGCCTTTGCTCTAGCCTTTGGCCTCTGCTGTAGCTGACACCAGCTACTGGAAAGACAGGCGGGGAATTCCGTAGTCTATTCGTACCCTTTGGGATAATTAATGGCTAAACTTTATAACTCTCTTTGAAGATTGTCGGAGTATTGTTGTTACTGAATCAGCAGCCATCTTTAGTCATTTAATGCATGTAGCCAACCCTTCCGCAATAATTTGATTTATTTTTTGAAGCAACAAATTGTACACACAACACGTAAGATGGGTACATATATATATATTTATGTTAGTCTTCGTATAAATCAGCTGCACGATTTATTCCGAGGGTAACTTGCCAAAGTAAATGCCAACAATAGAATTTCACTGAGATTGAGCCCCACTGGCAGTCTCAAAAGCCGACATATGCACAGGGGGATTAACAAAAGTTCGGTCAGTTTGCAAACGTTCAATTCGTTTCTGTCTAATCTAAAAACACCGAATCCTTTGCAGTGTCTTTATGAGTCTTCTTTTTAAACTTGAGAACGATTGACTAAAATGAAGGCGATGAAACGGAGCATAGCTGAGGATAATTCAGACAAAATTCCACCTCCAAAGCAAACAGAAATTCGCCATGTGATTCTTTTCTCTGCTATTCTACCCTCGGGTATTCAGTGAATGCTCAATTGCATATGGAATGATTTTTGAGAGTATCCGAAGATTCCAGATTGGACATTTTTCCATGGAAGACGAGCCTCGAGAAGGTCAACAAAAATATGCCATCGATGACGTCACTGTAGCTCTGGTGAAGTCAAAGATTGACGAAAACCCACGATTAACACAAGAAATGTTTGTTAATGAATTGGGTCTGAATGCCAAGGCTGCAGCGCGATACGCGAAAAAGTCTGCTCGATGCGTCACGAATTTGAAATCAGGTCAAAAACGAGGCTCACGTGCATTTTACTCAAGTTTTATTGCGATCTCTTGGATCGAAGAATTACGCTCAGCACCATATTCCAAGGACATATCACCTTGTCATTGCTGGTTATTATCAAAAATTAATAAAAAAGGTTTTTAATAGAATTTGAGGAGTGTTTTCAGCAGTCGATCTAGAGGCTTAAGAAATGCATTGAAAACAATGGCGATTATGTAGAGAAGAAACGAGAGTACAAATATTGCGCATATATAAATAAAGTATTTATTTTTTTTGTCAACTTACCGAACTTTTGTTAATCCCCTCGTATATACATACACGTATATTACGAGCAACATATTCCCACATCCCACAGATGCCGGCACATACACATCTCGTGTCTTTGTAATGCCCAACAATTAGTGTCAATGTTAATGTACTTTATATAACAGTGTTTATTTTACGCGCTCTGAAATATGACTCACGCATAAAACTGTTTGCTTGTGAACGAACGCCTCAACCCTTAACAGTAAATTAAGCTTTTAACAGCTTGTAAGATTTATGTAGCTCAAGTATTGTACACGCATACATACATTTTAAAGGACGAAGAGATTTGCTACTGGAAACAGCGTTACGCATAAATGCAGCTATAAACAAGACATTCTCGCATAATTTACTGAAATCGACTTGTAAAAACTTCACCCCAAAATTTCTGTGCACCATTGTATAACGAAACTCTTCAACTTACATTCGTTTGTTTGTTTTAATGTGAAAATTGAATCTCTAGCCACTCCCCGCTTTAATGGCGAAGATGAGTATTGGAATTACCACGGAAGCGTCTTCATTATAAAAACCTCCTCCGCCTTTCATCACTTGAAACTCTCCCTTTTACTCTATTATAACGTCGCTATTTCGCAAAGCTTCAAAAGTTCACTAAAAGCTGACACAAAAAATGCATAGAATTGTGAAATTATTTCCGCATTTCCGTTTGGTAATCGAACAACAATAAAATATATTTTTTTCTTGCCATTTCAATACATAATAAATTCGGTGAAACAAATTATTTTATTCTTCGATACGCAATTGGACTTTGTATATATGGATATTTTTGTATGATATACAACTAAAGGGGATGAGAAAAGATTGGAAAAAATGTTTTACTGTCGAAGTATAACTCGAAGAGATGCATAAAGTCGACGGGTTGTGTTGTCATCTTCAACTCAAAGCTAGAAAAGTACTTTTGGAGTTTTGAAAACAAGAAAATTTGGTTAACTAAAAAAGCTCCGGTGTTCTCTTATTTTTTTTTAATAATTTTTTTGTTGAAAATTAATTTTAAACAGATACTTACCGAACGATTTTCGGCCGAGCTACTCCTCCGATTTGTTGAATGCGTCTTGATGTTTCTCCAACAAATGGGCAGATCTACAGTTCATTCTAGTCGGCTCCGAACGGCCGCAGGAATTTATTTTTTTATGAGAAAAAATTTTATTTCATTTCAAAAGTACACTCGAAAACTTTATATTGCTTTCCGCAAGTAGAAAAATTTACTTTCGATAATTTTGTATGGGCAAAAACTTGAACCTGTAGTAATAGCCAAGCTTACGATAATCTATTGCTATTTTTAGTCTAGTTTCACAATTCCATCGGTTTCGATATCCTGTGATTTATCGGCCCAGAATCTGGTTATATAACATTCAGTGACTCTTTGTTTGGCAATTCTTTAACAACAAGAAATTTTCCGTTTCGAAACTTCCAACCAAAGTTTTGTCATCAACGCTGTATACGGTCTAGCATTGACAGGCTGAAACACAACACCCATTTCATGAGTATGTAATAGCTCATAATGGACAATACTCTTTTTCCGAACCCACCGTACAGATCGCATCTTAATTTTCCCTTAATTCAGGCCTTCGGATATAGATGAGCTGATATCATCGCTATTCAAGGTGTGTGATGGACGGACAAAGATGGAAATGAATAGGTCTTTGTGAGCTGTATAGTTATAGGTATCAGAAAACTGAAACTCAAACTTGGTGTTGGAACTTTGTGTGAGGAATGAAACCTCTTTGATGAGCTTTGACATTCATGCCCGTAGACGAACGTCCCTCCACAATTCGCATCAAGTAGATGAGAAAGGCGTCCTGACCAAATATGCCCTTTTGGGAACGCCTGAACCTCTATTCCGAACATTACCTCCGCCACAATCTCAAAACCGTGTTTGAGGACTTTAACGTCAGGATGGTCAGGGCAGATGTTTCATGCGCATCACTCGGAAATATTAGTCTCTGGGGCGAGTACTGGCTGAGTACCCAAAAATAGTTAATCAATCCAAATTGCTATCAGCCGATTGGATAGCTTGAAACCAGATCTTTCATGGTGAGTTAGATGGAAGACAAGAGTGAGCATAAACAAAGCAAAACTCGACTTCGAGAAGCTGCAATCGCAAAAAACAATCAGAAATGTTTCACCAGACTTGCACTTTATCCCACTTAGATCATTCGTTAGCAAACCGGTCTAGGTCCACTGTGGCATGACATTTCAAGCACCTAGCGAGAACAAAGAGATCACAAAACATTCCGTGCGGGAAGAATTCCGAAAGCGAAGACACATTTGCGGACAACAAAAGCAAAAAACTGAAATGCTGGAGTGTGAAGAACTTGATGTAGTACAGAGCTTCTTTTAGTAGGAACGAGAAACGAGGATCTGGAAACTAAGATTCAAAGTATATTGAGTTTACTGAGCTTGCTGAATCGCAGTGAAAAGGCAACATCTGAAGTTGACGAGCCCGAATCCGCAATCGATTATTATGGAACTGAAACTCCATTGACCGACTAATAAAAACTAGCAATCAGTATCCAACCCAGGTCTTTCAGGGCAGGAGGATGAAGTGCGTTCTGCCCAACCCATCGCATATGAAGCATTACCTAGAGTATTTTGTGATAGATAAACTAACATCGTCTACGGACATTGTCAATTTAGTTTTGTCGTTTTGCTTACTTCAGACTGGATATAGAAGCGAAGCTACGGTGTTGGATGAAAAGCGAAGAGATGAGAAAGTATCGCTTGTTTTCAAAGAAACAGCCAGTGACCGGGCTCATTGTCCTTACAACAATTTCAGCTTTTCAAAACAAAGCAATTTGATAAAAAGTGTATTTGGTATGCTCAAATTGTCGTAGTTAGTTACCGAGGAAGGCTAGCCGGCTAGAAGATATCACAGAGCTTGCTCTTGGCTAGAGCGTGCGCCTGTGATGGACTCAGTGTGGATTAGCTGAGGATTAGATGGGTCGTGGTAATTTATCCCTAAGGTGTTTACTAATGTTCGGGTGCACTTTTTTTGGGAAGATCGAGGCCTGCGCTGATAAATACGTAAGATTCATCTATATCTGTCGAAGTACATATAGACTGTAGCTATCAATCAGTTTGCTCTAGGCCTCTCTTGAACAACCAAATTAAATTATTTTTTGCTTTCAAGCTTTTCAAAAAGCTTTTAAAAGTTTCAAATGCATTTATTTCCATTTTTCAATTAGCTTCAGTTAACAGTTCCGGAGGTTCAAAAATAACTTTTTAAGCTTGTTAGGATTATTATTGAATTCTTCATTCACTTCTGTTGTACTCACCCGTAAGTTGTTTGAACAAAATTGTTTTGCCCTAATGCACTGAAAAGAAGCAACAATCAGTGCCGCCAGCATTGAAATAAATATAATAGTGATGAGTTAAGCATAAATCTATATATGTATGTATGTATGTTTGTAATTGCTCTATTTTCCTTTCATTTCTTCTATTTGCAACCGAATTTTATTGCATTACAATTATCTTCTCTTCCTTTTTTTCTTTCTTTCCTTCCTTCCCTTTCTTCTGGCAGGGTGAAAAATACGATGGACGTAAAGCGGATGTTTGGTCCTGTGGCGTTATCCTCTATGCGCTCTTGGTGGGCGCATTGCCCTTCGATGACGACAACTTGCGCCAGCTGTTGGAGAAAGTGAAGCGTGGCGTGTTTCACATACCACACTTTGTGCCGCCCGATTGCCAAAGTTTATTGCGCGGCATGATAGAGGTGAATCCGGATCGACGACTGACGGTGAGTCATCAGTGAAAAACTGCGGAAATGCGGAAATGCGTGCATATGTGCATGCGGGTGCGTGTGTGTGCGTGTATGTTAAGTTATTCGTAAAGCCAAGGGTGGTTGACACATCAAAAAAACTGCTGCCAGACCCCAAAACACCCCCAACCAAGCAAATCATAACAAACACAATAAATCGTCTGGGAGTTTTCTGTCATAAAAGCGACAATTGTTGACAGCAGCAGCAGCAGCAGCACTGATTGTGTCAGCTCGTTTGTAGTTGTTATTGACTTGTTTGACTGGCAATTGCGCGTCCCATTGTCATTGTATCGGTTAGGGATGTGACGGAGGTTAATTGGAAACCGTTTCGTAAACGGAGCTAAAATTTTTTTTCTTAAATTAGAGGCGACATTTCTTTTGGGTTTTGTAAATCTATCTAAAGGCCGTTCGAAGTTATTTTCAATAGCGAAGAACTAGCTGCGAGCCCACCGCAAAGCAAAAAGCTCCGAGTTAGAAGAAGTCGGAACCGAAAATATTAAACTTACATCATCGTAGGCTGAACCAAAGTTGAAGAAATGAAATAAATCGGATGTGTGGATCCTGCGAAATTGATGAAGAGAATTATAGTCAATTCGATGTGCGGAGCTTCATAAGTCGAATACACTGTACAGCGCTCAATCCACCGAATTTCAGGCACAAATTTTAGCCAACGGGTTCTTATCGAGTTGCTGAGTTGACGCAGTCAGAGATGGGAATTTAATGGCGGGCTCCCAATATCTCAACGTTATGTTTGAGCTTCGGTTCATATAATTAGTCAAGGCAATATTACCGAGATAGTCCCTTCTGGCAATTCTTCTTGCAACTCCTACTACTTAGCTCGGTTTGGATATCTTCCGCGCCTCACCTCACCTCAAACCAAACCGATCTAACCGTCGTGCACATCGTAGTTTAGCTAAGCGGCCGACAACTTCGTTTCAGAACCAACTGCCAAGAAGAAGTCCATAAACTGCCGGAAGTATTACCACCCATCTTCTACTCAGGTCCTCCAACCCGACACTGAAATTTGCCTTAAGAAAAGAGCTCGCTCATGAGAGTGAAGTCAGGCAATCCTTTGTTAGCCTCATAAGTATATCTGACTTTGACGGCGCGGACTAGAAGATCAATTATTTCTACAAGAACTGACCACCCTATTTCAGAAAGCCTGAACATGCAAGCGAGAGTTCGGCAGAAAGTGTTTCACCTACCTCTTCTGACAAACTTCGGTCCATCCCTTGAAGAAGCTCAGTGTTACTTTTCTTCAGACACCAAGGCCAAAACAGTTGCCTCTAGGCAAAAATGGTGGTGAATGTAAGCCAATGGAGAAACGCAAGGACCTCATCCCAGAGCACACAGTTCACTGGGTCAATTTCTCCCAGGAGTCATAAAGCCGGTCTTGGCGTCTGTAAGAGAAAAGTGGTGAAGCTCTTAAAGGATCGAGTGGAGCCTCGTCGGAAAACTTGATTAGAGGCTCTGCTGAATTCTCAAAAATCCGGACAGTAACTTATTTTCTTTAAAGCTTACGGCAGCTTTAATAAGATATGAATAGTCGAAGATCGGAAGAAAACCTTCCAAGGCAGGCAAGCGAGCACAAAGAAATCTAGTTTTTAATCTTTTCAGTAACCTCACATAACACTTTTCAAAATAAATGAGGTAATTAGATATTTTATTCTGAGTCAGGCTATTCGGAGGCTTCGATACCGCTAAATTAAAAGAGATAGATGATATTATTATCCCCATACCACAACCTCAGTAGAAGCAGTAGTCCTCAGTAATGGGGGACACAAAAACGGTCGGAGTTCTTAGCCGTCTTTGAAAGAGAAAGTAATAAAGCCATAAAGAATGAAGAATTAGCGAGCTAAATTCCATTTTTGAAAGCTCCAAAAGGAAATATTGATGACTAAGGCTCGGAGCTAGAACTCTTAGGTTTGCTTGGAGTTCAGAGCCAGAGGAAGATGCTTAACACCAGACGAAATTCGATCTCTTCAGGTATTCGAAAACTCGCTACATACCCAGTGTCCGCACACAACATACTACGCGCTGGGACATATATACATGCCCACACATCTACATACTTCTGCTGACACTTTTGTCACCAGTCAATTCCCAAACACACTCGTCGTTTGTCTAACGTTTGAAGCATTTGATTTACATTTATTTGCATTTACATTTCTAAACATACAAACATTTATACACAAATACATATCTAACCCACTACCACCTGCTTGGTCCACCTCTCACACCACTCAAAACGCTACACACACAAACTCTGTCTTTCCAATCATTCAAATTCAAATTCATCAAACACTTTTATTCACTATCTATGCCTCTCTTTCTCTCTCTCTCTCTCTCTCTGCCACTTTGTTTTTTTTTCCATTCTTCTCTCTTGCAGTTGTCCGAAATCAATCGCCATCCCTGGGTTACCGCAGGCGGCAAAGGTGAATTGGAATTGGAACTGCCAATGATGGAGGTGGTGCAAACGCATGTCATACCATCCGCTTCGGCTGTGGATCCGGATGTTTTAAATGCGATTTGCTCGTTAGGGTGCTTTAAGGAAAAGGATAAACTCATACAAGAATTATTGAGTTCGAAGTAAGTACAATATTTCCTTTATTTGGTATGTTATGTGCAGGTATGTATTTATGCACATACATATTATATGTATGTATGCTTGAGTTTAAGTGATTTATTTGACGCCTTAAACAGTGATTAACACAGCTTGAATTGAACTCAGTTAGGTTTGTTGCGGCCACATGTCGTGCATATTGAGGAGCATGTGTGAGTGCAGCAACAACAATGGATTTTGAAATTTAGATTTCGTAGAGCCGTCTAAAAAGTGTCACTCTATTCTCGTTCCTTGAAAAAAAAAATTACAAAAAAAATATTTCTTTCCCACTCTGAAAAGTCCGGCGAATATAAAATTTTGTTGCACGGTTCTGCAAAAGGTTGGGAAAAGGGTTGAGAAAACTTGTTTTCCCAGTCCAGGAACTCCAATTGTGAAGGTGGATTGCTAGATTCAGTCAGTCAGATCATATATTATATATATTTACAGTAATCCCCTTAAGTTCTGGAATTAACACCATCTGCAACGAGCACCAGCGGCCGAAGGCACTCTCAGCACAATATTGCTCGTTTTCATAACCATAGCAACCTTATACTTATCAAGTCTCTTCTTGAGACATGGCATTTATACAAATCGGTAATTAAACCAGAGTGCGCGCTCTCTTAGTACTACCCAGAAGAGAGGCATTCTCCTGAACCGCACAGTCTGATAGCCTAAAATTGGAGTAAGACGAGCCCCCTTGTGGCTTACTCACAGCATATCACTTGCATTGGGTCGAAATTTCCTCAAAAAGATTTAAATAATACTCTCTAGGGTCAAAAGCTACCGTCCCTCAGCCACTTTTTAAAAAACATTTCGAGCCAACAGCACTCAATTCTACTCTTTGTTGCAATCTGACATCATAGGTAAAGTAAGCTGTTCTTCATAAGTTTTAAGTTAGGTGGTTAATTGCTTTTAGACAATCAAAAAAAAGTATGCTATTATTGTAAGCCGAGCCCGAGAACACGTATTTCATAGACTTGCTTTCTTTATGTCTACAGAATTCCAGGAGATGTAGATCGTTCTCTTTGAAAGTATTGAGCTTTGAAAACCCTCTCTCCACTTATCCAGGTCCTTAACATATTCTAAAGAGAGATCCAAGCTGTATCTGTGGAATATTTTTATAGCTCTGACACAAAGAGACGTTGTGAAATAGATTTGGTAGTTCAGTTATGAAATGTTTGTGTTTTTTTATACACTTCAAGGCTTTTAACTTTTACGATAACAAAGTTTTGACATCTAAGGGAAGAGCTGTGAAAAGTAAAGCTACCCTGAAGATGGTCACCAAACACAAGGAAACCTAGAAAACTCTGAGCTTTAGTTGTCAACCTTCTCAGTAACCACACAAAACACTTTTCGAAATAAATGAGATATTCAGATGTTTTAATGCGAGTCAAGCTATTTAGAAGCTCTGAAACCACCAGGTAAAATAAGATAGATGATATTATTGTCTCTTTATTACTGATAGAAACGCTCTCCTCTCGGCTTGTGCCCGCTGAAGCGATTTGCGGCCGAGCTCCTCCTCCAATCTGTGCTTTTGCATCTTGATGTATTCCCAACAAATGGCGACAGAAAATTTCACTATTGCTTATCAAGAGACGAAGACTATCTGCATTTCTCTTGATGGATCGAAAGGAGAGATTGAGAATTTGACGACTAGCGGCCGAAACATAGTTATTGAGTGATTTAGTGGTTACTCTTCGAATTCCAACTATATTCTAGAGAAAAATTTGCTCGATTTAATGAACTGTTTTTATTTGTTCTAACTTTAAGACCGTAGCTGAGAACAGTGTGAAAGAAATGGTGTCTAAATCAGCTGATACTTGGTGCACGTTTAGCACTTTGCTTGTAGGGAAAATATTTTAGGGGTGGGTTTTGAATGCTACAACCTCGTGGTAACTAGTTTTTATTTTGTTCAATATAAGTAACGGTTTGCTCTGGCTGCGACTCAAGTATCCCTAAACCACTTGATGTATGTGCCAGAGTCTTGAAGGTTCCACCGTGATCTACTGTTTTTGTCAGCATTTAATGTATCTAAGAGATCTAATGAAAAGTTGATAGCGACAACCTTGTCAGCGACTACTACGCGAGTCATTTCGTGCGCTTTTTTATTGTCTTTTACACCCACGTGACCTTGGTTCCAAGTTAAAGTCTGCTACTTTCGTGGCTGCCTACAGGAATCCTTATATATTCTCCTACTAAAGTGCATGTTGATTTGGACTCTCGAGAAAAGTTCACAGTCTTTACTTGTATATTCGTAACTGGCGATTTGTAACCTCTAAAGCGTTTTTTGGCCTTGCTCCGTTACGGTTTCTGGCGTTGGTTTTCCAACAAATGGCAGCCCGTACAATTTGTTCTGAGCCTCCTTCTAACCGCTGTAGGATTTTTATGAAGACCTTTTTATTTCACGCAGGAAATACACTCGCCGTGGTTGATATCTCTTGTGTATTTAGAAAAGTCAATATTAGATTTGATTTACAACTATTTTGAATGCATATCTGTCTAATTAAGTATTTTACTTTCCATATTTTCACCTAGTTTGACACCAATTAGAGACCAAAACTAAATCAAAGCCCACCTCTCAGTTATATCTCAACAAATCGGAAAGTTTCGTCTTTCCCTTTTCCCACGAGCGAATACTGCAGCGAAAACTTTCGGAGCTGGACTGCTCTCGCGCGTGGTATATCTTGAACTCTGGTCCTTCTCCGTTGCTTTCCGTACAAGCTTAGAAATAAGTATATTAAACGAGTTATAAGCCAAAAGCTCTGGCAACACTTTCAAAGTTCAAACATTTTTTATTATATGCAGAGCTCAACATTAGATATACTCCTTATGTCTAAAAAAAAAAAGAAAACGTTTGCTTCCTTGATCAAAAAGTTCGAAAGCCGCCAACGGAAAATGGCTGTTTACCTTATTTGCTAAGCTTCAAGCTCGATAAGCTTTTTTCGCCTTCTACTTGAAATTTTACAACAAGGAATAATAGGTTTAAAATGGTGTTAAAATTTCACTGTATCTGGCTGTTTATAGACCTCTGGCCAACAAAGCTCAAAGCTCCAACCGTAGTAGTTTCGAATGTTTACTTCTTCCCTAACCACGCTTTGAAAAGACGGATCTCTGATTTACAGCCAGTGCAATCTATTAAGTTAAGGCTAAGCTTTCATGCAGATAATTTTGAGCACCGTTGTGCAGCAGATCTGATGACTGAGACTTGAAATGGCTCATTTCCCAGGCCTGCGGAAGTATCTACTAATTCTCTCTAAAATAGTCTAAACTGAAAAACGGTGCCTTTATTCGTTCTGTGCGGTAACTAAGTCCTGATGCCAAAGAGAAGCGTAAAGCTGAAAGAGGTTTTACGAAGAACAAGGAAATTTTTAGAACTCTCGTTTTTAACCAACGAAGAAACATTGCTCATTCGCACCATCCGTACACGTTTTCAGAATTCTACTTTCTTGTCTGGCACTGTTTTACGTTCTCTAGAAAAATTTGTCTGGAAATATGCCGGATGCCAATCCCACTTTTTTTTCTACTCTCTCCGCCTTATGTTAGTGAAATTGCTCCACAGAAAAGTAAATTTTTTGCAATTTTAATATTATTCTTTGGATAAATGCCTACAACTACAATAACATCGATGCCTAACCCGCTCTCTTTTCAGTCACAACACGGAGAAGGTTATATATTTTCTACTTTTGGATCGAAAACGAAGGCGTCCCGCCTTGGAGGACGATGATGAAATCGCTCAAAAATCACGTAGTGAATTAGATGCAGTGGATCCGCCCAGAAAACGACTCGATACATGTCGTATAAATGGCACGAACTCGCCCAGCTATGGACAAATATCGGAAGGCTCACCGCTTACGCCACGACGGCAAGCATTCAAGTAAGTTCGTCACAACCTGCTATGGCCACATGCATTCGCTCGCACATATGTATGTTCAATGTAGATGAGTGTAGTGTAGTTAGTGGTGTGAGTTGCTAATTAAACATACTCAAAATTGCTTATATCGATACAAAATACGAACAAACATTTCAACATAATTTACTAATCGGTTTGAACAACTTTTTCATTATATTACACGCATGTCGGCTCACTCGCATTGCTGCTCGCCCCAAATACAAAATCATCGACAAACAAACAAACACGTTGAAACGCATCGCCACACATCATCCAAATCAATCATCCATTGCTTTTGCTTCCATTTTCGTTGCCAATTGCCAAATCGTATCGAACAAAACCAAATCAACCACAGCTTCCGGTCCTACAGCAGTTCCCGTAATCACCAGCGTCGTTCGCCCACATCGGTTTCGTCGGTGCGTTCCTCATCATATCACAGTCCCACTCGGTGTAATTCACCTATTAATTCGGCGCAACAACAAGTGAATGCAATCTCACGTCCATCCTCGCCAGCGGCCACATCCGCCGGACACTCGTCCCGTCACTCTACCTATTCGAGTGAGTGCCGTGAGCGCTCCGGTTCGGCACAACATCATCCGTCTGTAAGTCGTACGCCCTCGCATACGTCGCAAACTGGTGTGGAAGGCATTATCGGTGGTATTAGTAGCACCAGTGGTGGTGGTGGTGGTGTTGGTGACAGAGGTGATAGAGGTGGCGGCGGCGGTGGTGTTAGTGTTAGTGGCAGTGATGTTATTGCGGCACGTGAGGCACGTGAGCGGCGTGACTCGCGTAGTGAGCGTCAGGCGGCCTTGCAAGCCAGCTGTGGTGGCGGTGGTGTGCCCGGCAGTCCCGGCGGCGGTAGCAGTAGCGGTGGTTCAACAGTACATCATCGTGCCAATTCGGGACCGACTATAGCGATTAGCATGTTCCACGATCCGGAAGCAAATAGTGGTAAGAGAGATTGTAAGTTGGATAAATGATAATTTTAAGTATTTTTAGAAGATCTTTGTAGATTTAGTGTAAAACAAATAATCGAGAAATTCATTTAGGGTAGGTTAGGTAGGCAGAACTTTCACAGAACCTTTTCAGACAACCTTGTTTTCGCCTTTGCATCTTTTATAGAAAAATCATTAAAAAGAAAACAAAATCTTATAGCGTTTTTTTTAGAGAGCACAAAACTCATGCTTAGACTTCTTTGAAAGCTTTATTTTAGATTTTGGTTATAGCTTAAAATCTTCCACAGTCGTATTTTATATGACAACTACGAAGCTTTGAAAAGCTCAAGAGCTTTTACTATCTGCTTGAAAGCTTTAGGTTTTAAATCACCTTTTCAAACAGGTCTTGGTAATATCTTCCCCGTAAATTTATTAACAATTAAAATAGTATTCTACTTCGAAGCTTTCATTTAAAAATCCACATAGCTCGAATAGGAGTTAAGAGCCAATAAACAGCTACAAAGTGCTACTTTTCGAAAAATGTTAATTCTCACGTCTACAAATTTTCTTTATATCACAATTAGTTACTCTCTCTCTCTTTTACTCTCTATTTATTCTTAAATCTTATCCCACAGTTATGAATCCTACAACATCACCATTAATGAACAATAGCTCACCGGTGATGCCTGGCTCACCGTGCAATGCACCTGGTGGTCAATTGTGGAAGACACGTCTTACAAATATTAAAAATAGTTTTCTCGGTAGTCCACGTTTTCATCGAAGAAAGTTACAAGGTAATACAGTACTAATAAAAGAAATTCAATCTGAAACTAAAATAAATATGATTATCCTTGATACAGTGTCCGCTGATGAGGTACACTTAACGCCCGAATCATCGCCAGAGTTAACGAAACGTTCGTGGTTTGGTAATCTCATAACGACAGAAAAGGACGAAACATTTACGATTTTAGTAAAGGGCAAACCGATAGCGACTGTGAAAGCGCATCTCATACATGCATTTTTGTCGGTAAGTAAAAAAAAAATTAAATTAAAATGAAATAAAATAAAAATAAATGCAATTAAAAATAAATACAATTAAAAATAAATACAATTGATTAAATTAAAAAAAAATAAACCAATAACCAATAAAATTAAACAAAATGGAATGAATTAAAATAAGACAAAATATATTACAATATAAGTAATAAAGTAAAATAAATTATAATACACAAAAATAAAATAAATTAAAATAAAATAAAAAATAAAAATAAAATAAAATAAAATAAAATAAAATAAAATAAAATAAAATAAAATAAAATAAAATAAAATAAAATAAAATAAAATAAAATAAAATAAAATAAAATAAAATAAAATAAAATAAAATAAAATAAAATAAAATAAAATAAAATAAAATAAAATTAAATTAAAAATAAAAAATTGTTGATATACGAAACGAGCAAAATAACAACTATGACAATAATAAAATAAATTTTTTTCGAAAAAAAAAAACACAACGCCCTTCTTCTTGCATAATGATATTTTTCCAATCAATGCAGGAACATACAGTTTATTCTAAACCGTCTTCGTACGACCCATAGATTTTTATGAGCAGCCTTTATTTCATGTCAGAAATATACTCGATGGATGGGCTACACATTCCCCGCCGAGGGGCCATTCTATAATTTGGGTTTTGATCGAATCATGACCCGCGATTTAGAGGCTCAAGACTTAACCCATGGTAAGGTATGCCTCTCGTAAAAGACAACTAAAATGTTACAGTTCCCACGACAGTCGGGTCTTTATACTTGAAGGACCGGGATTTTTATCAAGAATAGAACTGTGAGTAGTAAATGCGGTTACAACAACAACAATAACACAAAGGCACACTATGTTCCAAGAAGATTGAATAAAAAAAGGCCGTCAATAGCACACTATATCTTTACAAAGATGATGGGGCCCAAATGTGTCAACGCCATATCTAACTCATTGGCTCTATAGGTCAGATGTAAGACCATCTAGGTCATATGCAAGACCATCTAAGTCATGTGATAACTTGGTTAAGCGGCTATGATATTTTTTTGCCACAATTAGCTACCAGAGTCGACCTTAAACTACCAAATCACTACAGTGTCTTTCAAGTGCAATTAAAGAGAGCCTCAAGATTGTGCTTACAACAAAAGTGAAACCATATAAATAGTGCTCCATTTCTAGGTTCCCTACTTTTTGAAAGACAAAACAAATAAAATTCAAATTTCATGAGCAGTGTTTATTATCATTCGAAGACTGTTCTTGCGATTGACATCTATTTTTTGAAGATTATCGCTTTCAAATGTTGGTCTCGGCTACGTGGCAGATGGTCTCTCCGTTGGATCTAATATTCGATGACTCTTTCGAGCATTTCTTCTGGTAACTGAATGAATGACCCCCATTATGCTTTTCTCCAATGTCTGAATTGAATCGGTTCTGTCCACATAGACTTTACAATTTACATATCCTCACAGCAAAGAGTCTACTGTAGTGATATCAAATGATTTTGCTGGCCAATCGACCGCCGAAGCCGAAGCATGAAATTGTATACTTACGGAGGTGTTATCTCAATATATGCATTGATGGATGCGATGTGTGGGAAGTGGCGTCGCCTTGTTAAAAGTAAATATCGCCAAGATCCAAGGCTTGAATTTTGGGTCTCAAATCATTATCATTCCGCGATAACAGTCGCCATTAACGATAATATTCTCACCGGCATCATTTTTGAAGAAATATGAACCGATGGCCCCAGCGGCCAACAAATCACACCAAACCGTTCCAAGTGCGGCAATTCTGCATACACATTGAGCCAGAAGTGGTCTTAATCGCTAAACAAAAATTGGCTCGAAAACGTTGAATCTTTTTGGAACTTTTCAAGCGCCCTTAGATAAACCGCCAATTCCCTGTCTTTTCTAACAATAAACTTTTCAAAAGAAAAAAATTAAATATTACCAAATTAAATTAAATTAACAAATGAGTAATGAAACAAATGTTAATTCAAATGAATATTGATTTTAAATATTCTTTTTCTTTCTTTTCCAGATGGCCGAGCTTTCACATAGCGTAGTCTCACCCACATCCTTCCGCGTAGAGTATAAGCGCAATGGTAATGGACCTGTCATGTTTCAAAGACATGTCAAGTTTCAGGCAAGTATCTGTTATGCCATAAAGAGTGATAACTATTTAAATTTGTTGTTATTTTTCAGGTGGATATAAGCGCGATTTGCAAACAGGGCGATATCTCGGATATGCTGTTTGCACTGACATTCACTTTGTTATCAGGTATAGATTTATTTTTTATACATAAAAATAACCCAGTTGGAGTGGAGCTCAACTGATGTGGACTTTCGTCTTTACAATAAATGTTGAGAACCAACAAACATTTTAAAATTCCATTATTTTCGTCCATCCTCAGGCAATATTCGGCGTTTCCGTCGCATTTGTGAACATATACAATCGCAAGTTTGTTCCAAACGTTTTCCCGGGCCGAGTAGTCCACCTACTGTGGCTACCGTTACGCAAGCTGTTTCGGAGAGTTCGTCATGTGGTTCGGTCTCCAGTGAACGTTTGTCCTATAAGCGTCAGGTGAGCTAAATGTGTTTGTCAAATAATATCAATTAAAAATGAATTCATCTTTTTTTTTAATTTCAGCAAATCGAGAATGAAATTGAAAATGACTCGATATTTGTTTTCAAATCGGGCAATGGTCGCCGTGCATCTACAACAAATAATAATAATGCACCGCCGGCAGAAGTTGGGCCCGGAAGTCCAATTGCAGTGCGCTCAAAGTAAGAAACGGGAATTTATTGCGATGCTTGAAAGAGTGTAAGCGAAAGAGTAGAAAGCTGAAGAATACATTAAGCATCTTCTTTTCTCTCTTTCTCACGCACGTTACTGTATTATAATTAAAAAAAAAAAAAACTATTTTTACTCTTCTCTTCAACAGCTCCGAAACCGAGCAGCACGAACGCAATCGCGAATTGCAGAGTGATCGTCAGGCGACAACAATGTCAGGGAGTGCAATAGCATGAGAATTATTTCTCTGATTTAGTTACATTTTTATATAAAAGTAATTTATTTCCAAAACCCACAAAAAAAAGAGATAAGCAGAAAACTACAAAAATATATCGAACTACAACTACAACAGTCTTACAATTACGAGTTATACTTAACAATAGTATCATTTAACAAATTAATAAAAACAATTGCGAATAGAAAGTAAATAAGATTAAAATTATGTAAGATATACTAAATACTGAAATTGTCTGAGAGAAAAAAAATGCTATGAATTTTTCCTAAAGTAAGAAAAAAGTGCTTATAATAAGAATTTGTTGCTTGTAAACCTATAACTACTGAGTTATCATGTGCTTTAAAGCTACTGGAGCTTTTTATATTTATTGTTTAAGCTTTATTCATTTTTTGATTGTTAACTTTAGAACACTCGTAGCTTTCACCTTTATGTGAGAGCTTAAAGTTTGAATATTACCAACTTTCACATATTGGTATGAAATTGACCATTTTAAATAAAAACGAAATTAAAAGATATAAATTAAAAAAAAAAAAATCTAAAAAATTTAACAAAAAAATAAAAAATTAAATAAATAACAATAAAATAAACATAAATAAAATATATATCACAAAATAACTTTATATATAAATAATAAAATTTAAATAAAAAATATAATACTAATAAATGAAATGAATTAAAATTTAAATATAATATATTAAAATAAATGGAAACGAATAAATCTGAAAACAAAATTAAACATTAAAAAATTAATTAAAAAAAACGAATTAATTTAAAATAAATTTTGATATATAATAAAAAATAAAACTAAATTATTCAAAGAAAATAAAATAAAATCAAATCACTTAAATATAAATTAAATAAGGTAAAATAAAAGAAAGTAAAATAAGAGGGAAAAACAAAATAAGTTTAAACAAATTAAAAAAAAAAAGAAAGCGAATGAAATAACTTAAAGCAAAAAAATTAAAATAAATTAAATAAATTAATAAAAATTAAATTAATATGGAATAACATACAATAAAATAAAATTAAATAAAATCGAAAATAATAAATTCAAAATGATGACATAAAATAAAAGAGATAAAATAATTTGAAGTAAAATAGATTATTATAAAAAATTTAAACAAATCAATATATAAAAACACTGAAAATATAAGTAAAAACGTAAGAAAAAACAAAAAAAAATAAATCAAAATCAAACGAAATAAAAATATATAAAATAAACTAACTTAAGTTGATTTAAAAAAAAGTCAATGAAATAAAATAAAAAAAATAAAGTAATTTAAAATGAAATAAAATAAAAAAGTAAAATAAAATCAAAAATATTAAAAATAAAATGGTGAAAAGATAATGGATAATGGATAAATAAATTGAATCAAAATAAAATAACAAAGCGTTGAAAAAGAAAAAAATGTAAAAAACGAGAATTAAAGGAAAAATATATAGAAAGTAAAGTAATAAAAAACAAAATAAAATAAAATAAAATAAAAAAAACTAAAATTAAAATTAAACAAATTAAAATTAAGTAAATCTAAATAAAATCAAATAAAATATTAAAAATCAAAATTAAATTGAATAAATTAAAATTAAATAAATCAAAATAAATTAAAATAAAATGAATGAAAAATCTTAAAAAAAAAATTAAATAACAAAGTTTTTTAAAGTGAAAATGAATAAAACTTTTATATTATAAAAAACCAAATGAATGGAGTACACGGGAATAAAGTAAAGTAAATTAAATTAAACAAAATAAAAATGAATAAATTAAATAACAAATAAATTAAATATTTTATATGTATCAATAAGGAATAAAATAAAATAAAAATATTTAAATGAATTAAAAATGCGTAAAACAGAAAAATACAAAAATTTGTTATAAAGTGAGAGTAATTAATTTTAAATTTTTTTTTTAATATTTAAAAGGTTTTCTTTATTTTTATTTTCATTCAAAAATATTTTAATGAACGTATTTCAAAGATTTTTACGGTTTTCCAGAAGCTCTCTTCGTAAAAGAGTTTTAATTTACTGACATAACAAACAGAAAGCCACAAACATTGTTGCCGCCGAGCCGAAAAACTTTCGCTTTAAAGTATTTAAGCAAAATGAACCAAAGCAAATTGCGTAAGAAAATCATTAGTAAACATTGTTGTAATATTTGTAGCTTAATAATGCAATAAGATAAAAACAAAATTGGAAAAAATTGCAAATTTAAATAAATAAATAATTAAATTTAACATTAACAATTGATAATTTGTAGAAGAGTTCAATGAAAAATTTGAAAGCTAAAGAAAGCTAATAGTTAAAGCAAAGACACACCTTCAAAGTAGTTACACACACAAACGAAAGTATGCACTTAACATACATACATATAGATAATACCGTACATAGTATTAAATCAATTGAATTTAAAATTTCGATGAAACAATAAATAGTAAGAGAAGAATGAAAGTATAAAGCAGATTAAAGGAAAGTATTTTTGATGAAAACATTTGTGAAATAAATACAGTTTTTTTCTTCTTGCTGAAATTCAATATTTTAACAGTTTACTTGCATTTTTTTAAAGCGTTTCAAAAATGGAAAACAAAATTATAGAAATTCAAAAAATTAAAAGTTTATAATTAAAATTTAAATATTTTTTTATTAAAAATAAAATTTTGACTTATTGATTTTAATTCGGCTTAATTTTTAATGCAACTTGTTTGCCCAGCGTGCAATTATCAGTAAAAGAGTGGAAATGGAAAAACAAGAACAAGAAGAGGAGAGATGTCTGTTTGACAATTATTTACTGAAAACTACTGAATTTATGTAAAATTATTAGCTTTTTACGAAACCAATTTGAAAATCCGCCTAAGCATATTTATGTACATTTGTAAACTGTAACATGTATAAATAATACCGTTATTTATAAAGCATAAAATAAGCACTGTGGAAGTTTTTAATTAATTTTGTGTGTTAATTAATTAAGTGTTGACTGCAATATTTATTATATATATTTAGTTATCCCTTAACTAAGCTGAGTTGATGGAAGAAGATTTTGAGCTAAAGGAATAAAGTCACTTTAATTAAAAAAAGTCGAAATAATATATAGTTTTTTGAAAATATCATAAATCCACTAAAACTTTTTTAACACTTTTTGCATTGACCATTTCGGAAAAGTTCAAAATTACCACAGACACTTTGAAGATAAAAAAAAAATATTATTTATTGAGTAAGATACTCCTTTTTGGAAGACTTTTTTGAAAATTGAAAAACAAAAATATTTTTTTATTTTATTACTTTTATATAATTTTATATTTAATTTATTTTGAACGGATTCCGCGTTTTACATTTTTCGAAGTTAAAAAGAGAAATTCGATTTCAATTTTTTTACGATTTTTTTTTAATTTGTTAGGCTTTAAAACACAGTTTTTTTCAGATTTTTTTTTTTTTTTTTTTTTTTTGAAAATATTATAATACGCAAAACAGATATGCTCATATAATCGTACATTATAACAATATAAAAAGCTTTCATTTTTGTATTACAATCACAAAATTAATTTTTTACAAATTTCGAGAAAGTTCAGAAACATTAAAAACGCAATTAAATTAAAAAACAAATTTTGGTTTTAATTTTTAAATATTTTCTTTTTTTTGGTAAAAAAATAAATATTTTATTTAAAACTATTCCTTATACTAAAAAATTAGTTTTTTTAACTTTTTCGCTACACAATATAGCTACACTTTCTTCAGATCAGTTTTAAAAATATTATTACATAAAAAAGAAATGATAGTTAATTTAATTTAAAAAAAACATTTTTTCTTTTTTTTTCAAATCATTTACAAAATTATAGCAAAATTTGAATAACTATTAACTATAACTTACAAAAAAAAAAAAAATATTTCCAAAAAGATTTTGGTTACTGAATTTAATTATTAACTAAATAAAAATAATTATAATTCAATAATATAAAAAAAAATTTTGTTAAATTTATTTAAAATCTCATATTTTTGAATGGCTTTTTTTGAGCTAAAAATATATTATGAAAATATTAGTTAATAAATTTTATTATTTTGTGCAAATTTCGAAGAAGTTAAAAAACTTAAATTTCCCTCAAATTAAATAATTAATATTTTTTTTAATGTTTTGAAATTCCCATATTTTTATGGCTTTTTTGAGCTAAAAAATATTATAAAAATTTTAGTCAATAATTTTTATTATTTTGAGCAAATTTCGAAGGAGTTAAAATTTCCATATATATAAATAAAGAATATTTTTATAAAATTTTTGAAAAACCTAAGTTTTTTAAGATAAAAAATGCTTTTTTGAGATATAAAATATTTGCATTTTTTTTTTCTTAAGCAATATTAAATGAAAATAGCTAGATTTTTCCTTTATTTTCATTTTTTTTTTTTTTATTTTCTTACCTAACAAAAATTGCAACTCAGCGCTTTTGTAATGAAATAACAATCCCAAAACGAAAAGAAAACACAAAAAATAACCGTCCAAACGCATATAATAATAAAGAAAATGCAAAAAAAAAATTATTTATTATTTTTTTCTATTGCCAAAAAATAAGCATTTCAGTTTGCAAAAAAGCATAAATATTTTTTTACACTACACATAATTAATACGAATTTCTTGCTACGAATTGAGAATGGAAGAATTATAGAAGAAGAAAAATAAAACAAAAATTAAACATAATCAATGGAAAAGTAGGCAAAGCAAGTTCAAGTAAAACGGCAAATAAACGCATGGAAATGCATTAAATTATTAAAAAAAATTAATGCCAAGAAAAATAATAAAAAAAATGTACATACATACATACATATGCTGTAATAAAGTATTATTTGCTATGCATTGTCATAGCAGAGTGTAATTAATTATTGAAGGAAACAAGTATTTTGGTAGAAAAGTAAAATGTAACTCGATGATACTCCGCTTAAGAAAAGTAAATAAATTACAAAAAAAAAAAAAAATCGTAATATTAATTATGATGAAAGTGCGTTATTTCAATTGCATATTGTGTAAAGTAAATACGTAAATTACAAAATAATAAAATATGTAAACCAATACTTCTGTGTGATCGTTTATTACTACGAAAAATAAGACAAGTGAAATAATATATTATATAATTTATCAAATTGTTTATTTATTTTTATTTTTTTTTTTTGAAATGCCTTTTCTTTTTTATCTAATAGTATTATTGGAAAATAGGTATTATTTTGTTAAATTAACGATTGCTCATTTCAATTTAAAGAGGACGATATGCCGTTAATTAACAGCCACGCTTACAGAACCGTATCATTTTTAGGAAATTTTCTCTCACTAAATCGCAAAGTGGCTGCTGTATGCCCTCAATACCGTGACAAATTCCATTTTTGAGATCTTGAATGAACTTAAATAGATGGTATGTTGTCGTAGTCCTTATCTGTCACGTGGTCTCAAACGACGAAGTCACAAGGTGTTAAGTAACAAGATCTCGGTGGCCAATTGCGTTCACTTCTGCCGATCAAAAACAAATCTGAGTTTTCCGGACACTAGATGCCTCACTT